AGAAAAAAACTGCTAAAAGATGAAGAAATTGAATGCGCAAATAAGTATGAGCTGCTAAAGGGCTTGGAAGACATGGACTGAGATTATGTTTTTTATGAATGTTTTTATGTCTTTTATGAATGTTTTTATATTTTTTATGGTTTTAGGAATTGTGTCTTTTAATGCAAGAGGGCTTTTAGACATCAGGAAATTTGAAAAAGTGAAAGAAATGTGTAAACGAGAAGATGTGATTTTACTACAAGAGACAAACTGGAGGGAAGAATGCATGAAGGAAATAAGAAAAAGGTGGAGTGGGGAAATGTTATACAATAATGGGGATGGGAGACTAGGGAGAGGAGTTGCAATTTTACTAAAAGAAAACAGTGGGGTTTTATGTAAAACAATCTATAATGACAAAGAGGGAAAGTGTATGATATGTGAAATGGAGTATGAAAAGAAAAAAGTAATTATGGTGAATGTTCACGCCCCAACAGAGGAGAACAAAAAGAAAGAGTATTTTAATGTACTTAGAGATTATTTAAAGAAACACGAAAGAGTTATTATCATGGGTGATTTTAACACTGTTTTTAGTAAATTAGAAATGGCTGAGGGAATGGTTTTTAAAACGGATAAGGGGAGAAAAGAACTAAAAATATTGATGGAGGAAATGAATTTAATTGATGTGTGGAGAGAAAGGAATGAACAGACAAAAGAGTACTCAAGAAGACAGATAGTGGGGAATTTTTGTTGTCAAACAAGAATAGATTTTATTTTATGCACAAGAAATGTTGAAGGGTTTATAAACAAGATTAAATATGAAGAAACAAGTCTGAGTGACCATAAGCCACTTTTTATGAAGCTAGACTGGAGTAATGTGAAAAGAGGGCCAGGGGTATGGGTTTTAAACACAGCGGTTTTAAAGAATGAAGACTATGTTTTAAGTGTAAAGGAAATTATTCAAAAGGAAAAAGGGAATGAAATCTATAATGAGGACAAAAGAATGTGGTGGGAGAATGTGAAGTATTTAGTTAAAAAGTTTACGATAAAATATTGTAGACAATTACAAAATTGTAAAAAATATAAGGAAAAGGAGCTGAAAGAAAAACTAGAAAACGAATTGAAAAATGAGAATGGAAAAAATATACAAAAGATTAAAGAACTGCAAGGAAGATTAAATGAAATGGAGGAGGAGAAATTTGAAGGTGCAAGATTAAGAAGCAAAGCAAAATTTACAGTAGAGGGGGAAAAGTGCACTAAATTTTTCTTTGATCTAGAGAAGAGAAGAGGGAAGTCAGAAATGATTAGAGAAATAAGGAGCAAAAATGGGAACATAGTAGAACAACATGAGGAGATTTTGGAAGAAATAAGATCATATTATGAGAAATTGTTTTGCACAGAGGGAATAAAAGAAAAAGAAAAAGGGGAATTACTAAATCTAATAAAATCAAGAGTAGAAGAAGGGGAAAAAAGAGAATGTGACGAGGAGATAAGAGAAGAAGAAATAAAAAGAGCAATTAGTGGATTGAACAAAAAGAAAAGTCCAGGAATAGATGGGTTGGGAAGTGAATTTTATATTGTTTTTAAAGATATTTTATCTAGTATTTTAAAGGAAGTATATGATGACATTTTTGAGAATGGTGAGATAAATAAAAGAATGGGGATGGGCTTAATGAAGGTGATATACAAAGGAAAGGGGGATAAAGTAGCTTTAAAAAACTATAGACCTATAACAATGCTTAATACTGATTTGAAGATTTTAGCCAAAGTTTTGGCTAATAGACTAAAAGAAGTGATGCCAAGCATAATAAAAACAAACCAAGCATATAGTATAAAAGGACGAGACATTGCGGATACAACTATGAGTATTAAAGACACAATTAGATATATAAATGATAAGCAGAAAGATGGTTTTTTAATTAGTCTGGACTTCGAGAAAGCTTTTGATAGGGTGGAGCATGACTTTTTATTTGGAGTGTTAAAGAGTTTTGGTTTTGGGGAAAATTTTATAAAGTGGGTTCAGATTTTATATAGAGGAGCGGTAACAAGGATAAAATGCAATGGGTTTTTAACAGACTGTTTTAAGTTAACAAGGTCAATCAGACAGGGTTGTCCGTTATCTGCACTTTTATATGCTTTAGTTGCAGAACCACTGGGATTAGCTGTGAAGCACGAGGACAGAATAAAAGGAATAGAGGTAGAGGGGGGAGTGAATAAAATATTTCAATATGCTGACGATACCACATTAATACTACAAGATCTGGCAAGTGTAAAGCAAGCAATGGAAATAGTACAGCATTTTTGCAAGGGGTCAGGGGCTAAAATAAATGAAGATAAAACAGTATATTTGAGATTTGGGAGAACTGAGGCTTTATCTGGACATTTTACTTTTAAGGAAATGGATGAAATTAAAATTTTAGGCATTATAATTGGGAGGGATGAAAAGAAAGCAGAAGTAACCATGTGGGAGGAAATTTTAGGAGGGATTGAACGGAGGCTGAGGTTTTGGAAATTAATGTCTTTAACTTTGAAGGGGAGGGTTTTAATTTTGAATGTTTTAATGGTTTCTAAATTATGGAATATTTTATATGTGTCATCAATGCCACTGTGGATGGAAAAAAGGCTGAAACAATGTTTTTTAGATTTTTTATGGGAAGGGAAACCTCCAAGAATAGCATATGCAACGTTAATTGGAGAAGTAGGCAAAGGGGGTCTAGGTTTAATAGACGTGGAGCAAAGAAAAAACAGTTTAAGAGTAAAAATGGTAAGGAAATATTTGGATGAAGACAATAAGGCAGCATGGAAAAGAACAATGGAATATTTTTTAAGTAAAAGTGGCAATTTTAATTTGGGAGATAATATTTTATGCATGAGGATGAAAAAATTCATGACAGAGGGTCTACCAGATTTTTATAAAGAATTGATTGGAGCATGGGGGAAATTTTTAACTTGTGTACATTTTAACATACAAGGACGCGAGAACATTTTAAATCAGCCTTTATTCTTAAACAGTGGCATTCTTAATCAAGAGAAAGTGGTGTTTTTTAGGAAATGGTGGGAGGTGGGAATAACAAGAGTAAGGGATGTTTTATATGAATTTAAGGAAGGATTTTTACAGGTACAGTATGTTATTGACGTAATGGATGAAGCGAAGGAGGATTTTAACAGACAAGACTTAATAAAGGAATACGACATAATCAAAAATGCCATACCTGCAGAATGGTTAACAAGAATAGAAAACATGGAAGAAAATAAACAAAGTAAAGATGTGATTGTAAAATTTGGCGAGAAATGGTGGAACTTGAAAGATAGTACTGTGAAAATGATTTATGGGTTTTTTAGAGATGGGGTTTTTAAGAAACCGCGTTCAAATGAGTACTGGATACGGATGTTTAAAGATGTAAATGAAGACAACATATGGGCTAATATAAAGGGCAAATTAGTACAGTCAAAAGTGGAGAATTTGGAATATTTGATCAGAAATAAAGCAGTTTTTACAGATATAATTTTAAACAAAATAGGGATGGAGGAAAGTGTCACGTGTAAAGTATGTCAAGATGCAGATGAAGGATTCTTACACCTGTTTTTATATTGTAATGAGTTGAAAGATTTTAATGAGAAATACAAAAGCATTATTTTAACTTTGAAAGGAGAAAGAGATGACGAACTTGAGTGGGAAAAGGTGTTGATGTTGGGAGTGAACAAAGAATGTAATAATGAAAAGCTCATAAATTTACTTGTGATGTTAATGAAAAGTGCAGTATGGGAGAGAAGAGTTGCTGCAAAAAAGGAAAAAGCTGTATTAGATGTGTGGAATGTATTTAAGAGGAAGGTGGAGAAATATGTTGAATGTCTGTTTTATTATTTTAAGTTGGAGGACATGCAGGAGGCTTTTTATGATGTTTTTACTCAAGAAGTTTCAAAGATTTTAAATGACACAGGAATGAAAATGCCTTTTTAAAAATGTGATTATACCCTTTAAGGAGTTCTACTTGCAACATTTTATATTTAAAATGTTTTATTGTGAAGATATGATGTAATACGGACCTTTTTAATGTTTTGTAAAAAAAAAAAAAAAAAAAAAAGTGGTAGAATTCTCGCCTGCCACGTGGGAGACCCGGGTCCGATTCCTGGCCAATGCAAATCCTGTTTTGTGTTGCTACTCTTCCAGCTCTGGGTAACAGCCTTGCAGCAGTCTCACCCCACTAGGACAGCAATATAAGCATATCAGCATTGGTGGTTCAGTGGTAGAATTCTCGCCTGCCACGCGGGAGACCCGGGGCCGATTCCTGGCCAATCCAATTCCTGATTTGTGTTGCTACTCTTTCAGCTCTGGGTAACAGCCTTGCAGCAATCACACCCAACTAGAACAGCAGTATGAGCATTTCAGCATTTGTGGTTCACTGGTAGAATCCTCGCCTGCCACGTGGGAGACACAGGTCCGATTCCCGGCCAATGCAACTCCTGTTTTGTGTTGCTACTCTTTCAGCTCTGGAGAACAGCCTTGCAGCAGTCACACCCCACTAGAGCAGCAATTTAAACATATCAGCATTGGTGGTTCAGTGGTAGAATTCTCGCCTGCCACGTGGGACACCCGGGTCCGATTCCCGGCCAATGCAACTCCTGTTTTGTGTTGCTACTCTTCCAGCCTGGGTAACAGCCTTGCAGCAATCACACCCCACTAGGACAGCAGTATGATTGTATCAGCATTGGTGGTTTAGTGGTAGAATTTTCGCCTCCCTCACAGGAGACTCGGGACCGATTCCCGGCCAACGCAGTTCTTTTTTTGTGTTGCTTCTCTTCCAGCTCTGGGTAACAGCCTTGCAGCAATCACACCCAACTAGGACAGCTGTATGAGCATATCAGCATTGGTGGTTCACTGGTTGAATTCTCGCCTGCCACGTGGGAGACCCTCGTCCGCTTCCTGGCCAATGCAAACCCTGTTTTGTGTTGCTACTCTTTCAGCTCTGGGTAACAGCCTTGCAGCAATCACACCCCACTAGGACAGTAGTATGAGCATATCAGCATTGGTGGTTCAGTGGTAGACTTCTTGCCTCCCACGCAGGAGATCCGGGTCCGTTTCCCGGCCAATGCAATTCCTTTTTTGTATTGCTACTCTTCCAGCTCTGGGTAACAGCCTTGCAGCAATCACACCCCACTAGGGCTGCAGCATTAGCATATCAGCACTGGTGGTTCACTGATCGAATTTTTTCCTGCTATGAGGGAGACCTGGGTTCCATTCCCTGCTAATGCAATTGCTGTTTTGTGTGGCTCCTGTTACAACTCTGGTTGATGGATTTTTAGTACTCACATAACACAAAGGCAAAGAACAACTTGGGTTAGCGTTGGTGGTTCAGTGGTGGAATTCTCACCTACCACGCTGGAGTCCCGGGTCCGATTCCCGCCCAATGCAATTCCTGTTTTGTGTTGCTACTCTTCCAGCTCTGGGTAACAGCCTTGCAGCAATCAAAACCCACTAGGACAGCTGTATGAGCATATCAGCATTGGTGGTTTAGTGTTAGAATTCTCGCTTGCCACGCGGGACACCTGGAGTTGAATCCTGACTAATAGAGAAGTGGTTTTTTGTGGCTCCTGTTCCAGCTCTGGTTGATGTCCTTTTAGCACTCACACAAAGGCAAGGAACAAGGTAGGTCAGCATTGGTGGTTCACTGGTAAAATTCTCGCCTGCCTCACGGGACATACTCTTCCAGCTCTGGGTAACAGCCTTGCAGCACACACCCCACTAGGGCAGCAATCAAAGCATATCAGCATTGGTGGTTCAGTGGTAGAATTCTCACCTTGCATACTGGAGACCCGGGTCCGATTCCCGGCCAATGCAATTTCTGTTTTGTGTTGCTACTCTTTCAGCTCTGGGTAACAGCCTTGCAGCAATCAAACCCACTAGGACAGCAGTATGAGCATATCAGCGTTGGTGGTTCAGTGGTAAAATTCCCATTTGTGACGCGGGAGACCCGTGTCTGTTTTCTGGCCAATGCAAATCCTGTTTTGTGTTGCTACTCTTCCAGCTCTGGGTAACAGCCTTGCAGCAATCACACCCCAATAGGACAGCAGCTAAAGCATATCAGCATTGGTGGTTCAGTGGTAGAATTCTCACTTGCCACGCGGGAGGCCTGGCGTCGATTCCTGGCTATAACAATTGCTGTTTTGTGTGGCTCCTGTTCCAGCTCTGGTTGACGGCCTTTTAGCTCTCACACAACACAAAGGCAAGAAACAACATGGATCAGCATTGGTGCTTCAGTGGTAGAATTCTCACCTGTCACGTGGGAGACCCAGGTCTGATTCTTGGCTAATGCAATTACTGTTTTGTGATGCTACTCTTCCAGCTCTGGGTAACAGCCTTGTAGCAATCACACCCCACTAGGGCAGCAACATGAGTATATCTACATTGTTGGTTCAGTGGTAGAATTCTCGCCTACCATGCGGGACACATGAGTTCGATTTCTGTCTAGTGCAGTTGCTGTTTTGTGTGGCTCCTTTTCCAGCTGCATGAACTGCCTTGCAGCACTGACTTCCCACAAGGGCAAAAGAACATATGTGCCAGCGTTGGTGTTTCAGTGGTAGAATTTTAGCCCGTCTTGTGGAAGACCTGGGTCTGATTGCCAGCCAATGCAGTTGCTGGTCTGTGTTGCTACTCTTCCAGCTGCATGTAACAGCATAGCAGCAATCACACCCCACTAGGGTAGGATAACATGTGTTTCAGCATTGATGGTTTAGGGCCCTATCATAAGCGCGGTGCAACAGTATTTTGCTAGTTGAAGCTTGACACAAGAGGCGTTGCGCTACGCTGTTTAAATAGCAAATGCATTAGCGCTCATATGTGCACGCATAGGCGTTCTAGTCTAAAAAGGAAGGTGTTCTGAGGCACTGCTGGCGCGTTGTTATTTTGAGAAACTGAAAATAGATTTTTCATTAGACCAAAACAAACTCGGTCTAAACTCCTGCGCAGAGTTGCACCTCGCTTACACACTGCTTAATACGCACAAGAGAGCAATAGGCAAATATCTGTACATATGAAAAAATTTTAATATTAAGGTTATATATAGGATATAATAAGAATAGATATAGGATATAAATATTAAGGATTAAAATATTACAAAACATATTATTTTCTAGCCTACATAAATATGAAAAATCACTGCTTTTATGTCTTCTTCATCTCGGGAGGCTTTTTCAGTTCATTCATAACAATTTGCTTTTGTATAATGTTATTATTATTAGCAGTATTATTTATTATATCCATATTTATCTTTGTTTTATTAAAAACAAGCTTACATTTGCCCACCTGTCAGGTTTTAGACCATATGGGGCACAGCATGTGTTTTAGGATATAACACAGGTTTTTGAACACACTTCGTTATTGTTGTTCATTTATTAGTTTGCTGGAAATTAGAACTGAATTTAGAAATAGTTTTGAAATGAATATTTGCGCTTAACAAATACAATTAATTATTTATAGACTAATTGATGTCTGTGCGTAAAGGTTTCCATATCCAAGAGCGAAAGTGAAAGTAGATCATTTATCTCTCCTTCTCACGCAGTAGATGCTCTGTTTAACAGTTTTCAATTAAAAAAAAACTGTTAACTGTTTGCTTGTGAAATGCTCAGTTTTTCCACTTAGACTTACTTTGCGTCCTGTAAATAGCAAATGTGCTTATGGCGCGACGCAGCTAGCTCTTAAAGGTAATGGGAGATGAGACTCTAATTGGTTTATTCTCAAAACACACCTTTAACTCATTAAGAAAATAAACTCAACCCTTTTAGACCATGCGCCTTGGCGCAAAGCGGATTTTCCCGTCCTTAAATTATCAAAAATGCATTCTGACACACCCTGCAAGCGTTTGCACCCTGCATTTTGCGCTCTGCGCATGGACCGTCAAAATAGAGCCCTTAGTGGTAGAAATCTCGCCTGCTATGTGGGTGACCCAGGTCAGATTCCCGGCCAATGCAGTTCCTGTTTTGTGCTGCTCCTCTTCTAGCTGTGTCTAACAGCCTTGCAGCACTCACGCCCCACTAGGGCAACAGCATGATTTTATCAGCGTTGGTGGTTCAGTGGTAGAATTCTCACCTGCCACGCGAGAGATCTGGGTACAGTTCTTAGCCAATGCAATTGCTGTTTTGTGTTGCTCCTCTTCCAGCTGTATGTACCAGCCTTAAAGCACCCACTCCCTAAAAAGGCACGGGAACATGCATGACAGCAGTGGTGGTTCAGTGGTAGAATTCTCACCTCCCATGCGGGAGACGGGTCTGATACCCGGCCAATGCAGTTCCTGTTTTGTGTTGCTTCTCTTCCAGCTACATGTAACAGCCTTGCAGCACTCACACAACACCGATTCACATTCAATGTAACTCCTGTTTTGTGTTGCTACTCTTCCAGCTCTGGTTGACGGCCTTTTAAGCACTCACACAACACAAAGGCAAGGAACAGCATTGGCCAGCACTGGTGGTTCAGTGGTAAAATTCTCACCACGCGGGAGCTGTGTGTCCGATTCCTGGCTAATGGCAAAATAATAAGCAGGTCAGCATTCGTGGATTCGTGTTGATTCCTGGCCAATGCAATTTGTGTTGCTCCCCTTCCAGCTGCATGTAACCGCCTGGCAGCACTCAGAGCCCACAAGGGCAGGTGAACATGTGAGGCAGCATTGGGGGTTCAGTGGTTGAATTCTCGCCTCCCATGTGGGAGACCCGGGTCTGATTCTTGGCCAATGTAGTTCCTGTTTTGTGTTGCTGCTCTTCCAGCTGCATGTAACAGCCTTGCAGCACACACACCACAAAGGCAAGAAAAGACATGTGTCAACATTGGTGGCTCAGTGGTAGAGTTCTTGCCTGCTTATGGCCGTACCACCCTGGGAACACTAGAGGACACTAGTGAACAATACAGGGAGTGAACAGCTGCAGTTCAGAGAAAGGGTCTCCTCCATTTTAGAATTTTTGTTTTGTGTTTTTTTTTTTTTTGTGGACTGAAATAGAGTTTTTTTTTTAAACCACCTGAGAGCAGCATCTTGCTAACTGGAGGGTGTGTGTTTTTTTATTGTTTTTTTTTTTGCACTTTTCCTGGACATAAAATGGATGGTTATTTGGCAAACGAAACAGGGCTGGATGCAGAGACTCTCTTGGCAAATGAAACTAGACTGGATGAAGGGACAAGAATGGTTAACGACATTGGACTGGTTGATAGACAACGAGCTGGACAAAGGAAAAAAATTGGTGGAAGAAAATATTTAAAAGAAGTAACAGTAATAGTGAATGCCGAAGAAGTAAATGAGGTACAAGCTGTGGACATCATTAAAGCAGTGACAGACAAGTGTGGTCATGGGAAGATTCTGGCTTTGAGACCAAGGCAAGGAAAAGAGTTTGAACTAACTATGGAAAAGCAAGAACCATGTGAGGAATTGATCTATGAACTGTTGATTAAGGAAATGAACTGTTAAAACCAAAGAGCTGCAAAACAGGGATTATGTTGTTTCTTTCGTGCACCTGCCAGTCTATCTTGATGACAGAGAAATTTTTGAAAAATTAGAAGGATGGGGAGTTTATTCCATATCAAAAATAAAAAGAAGAGTTTACACAGGCACTGACATTGAGGACGGAACAAGGTTCCTAGAAGTGAGGTTCCCTAAGGAGGTGCACTGTAAAAAAATTGCTGTTAAAAAACGGTCAGATTCTACGGTAAAATAAGGTTTTTTCACTAAAACAGTAATATTGTGTTAAAAACAGTGCTTTCTGGGTAACATTTTTGTTTTCGAGAAAGTAACCAACTGCAGAAAACTGTGAGCTAACAGAGTTCAGATTCGATGTTTTCACACTTTGTGTCCTTGTTCACTATTTCATACACTAGTTAACTAATATAGTTCACCTGACAGTTTTAATGAACACTAATGAGTGAATTCAGACACTGATGAACACCTGCTGTTAATAATTACAATTACTGAAGAAAATAAACAAGAAACACAAACAGTGACTTGAGTTACAACATTAAATAAAATCAAATAAAATAAAACAGCTTCAGTCTCAGCAGAGGATCATTAAACAACTCCACAAACAACAGCAGACACACTTATTACTGACTGATTTGAC